TCTGAGTTCCGCACTGAGGTGTCGTCTTGTAAAAAATGATTTCATTCTCACGAAGATTTTACTCGCTTGCTCAATTCTTTAAAATATTTCTCTTTTCGGGTCCCACTGACTATTGATATTAGCTCCTAAATACTTTATTGAGGCAGCTGTTGCATTTTGCCCTTTACACGCAGGTGCGCATTTATTGGAGTCTTAGAAAAGACCAATAGTTTGGTCTTGGAGACATTGAGATGCAGTCCAAACATCTCACTATAGTGGACTACGGAATCTACAATGCTTTGCGGTTCTTGTATATCGTTGGCTATTATAACCGTATCATCGGCATATCTGATATTGTTTATTGGGATTACATTGAACTTGATTCCGCCCTGGATTCGATCCAGTGCTTCTCTATATATAGTCTCCGAGTACAGGTTAAACAGGAGCGGAGACAAGACGCAACCCTGCCGAACACCCCGTCTGACTTGTATATCTTCCGATGTTGACTGCTTCATCTCAACTACCGCCGTTTGATGCCATAAAGTTCTGATATGAAACGTAGATCTTGTTCGTCAACTCCGGTTGTTCTTAGAATTTTGATCATCTTCTGATGATTAACACAGTCGAACGCCTTACGATAGTCTATGAAGCATGCAAATACATTCACATTCATGTTTCTACACCTCTGTGTCCTTACATTTAGGGAGAAGAGTACTTCACGCGTTCCGAGTCCGTTTCTGAAGCTAAACTGGGTGTTGTCCAACTGATTTTCGCACTTCTTGTAGATTCGCGTGTGGATGATCCTAAGAAAGGTTTTGGGGACATGGGACATAAGGCTTATCATCCGATAGTCATCACATTGTGAGGCGTTGGGTTTCTTTGGCAGGGTTACGAATGTTGATTTAAGCCAATCTGACGGTATTTTGCTTGAGCTATATAATTTGTTAAATAATGCTGTTACCAAATCTAGACTTCTGCTTTCGTTATCTGCAATGAGTTTAAGTATTTAAACGTTTATTTTATCGGGGCCGGTAGCTTTTCCGCTTTTCTTTTTATTGTTAACCAAGATTAACAATAAAAGATAATAATTTTTATAACACGGGCGTATACAGGGTGGCGCCTCTCATACGCCGCGGAGGCTCCCAGGGGAACGACAGTTTGTATTGAAATGAAATTTTGTGAGCATATTATGTAGGTTAATTCAGAGCACTTTTTAAAAATATAGAAAGTTCTACAGGGTGTCCCCAAAAAAAGTTACATATCAAAGTTGCGTTTTTTGTAATGGAACACCCTATATATTAATTGATTTTCGAATTCTGGGAGAAAAATAAAGGTGAGTTTTATAAGAGAAGTATATGACTAAAAGGTAAGGTTTTTGACATATTTAACATTTTCTAGAAATAAAGAACAATTTTTAAATTACAATAAAAGCTACCTAAATTGGAATTTACCCGGTATAGCCTAATATGTAGTTAAATTAACTATTGTACTTCAAATCAAATTAAAACTTGATCCAAAAAGTTATACAGGGTGAGACAAAATTAATATTGAACATTGGTCACCTTTAAAAGCATGTTTCTCTTTTATTTTAAATGGAACACCCTGTATATTATTCCGATATTCAATGGAGAATTCGTGGAACTTTATTATTTGATAAAATCTAGGTGGCTGTGATATGTCTGACGTTACTTCAACATAGCTGTCTAATTAATCCAACTTTAACAACTAGTTATCATTTTGTGTCAGTTAAAACAAAAAAACATTCTGAGAAATTTGCCAAAAATGCAAACTTATCCTACATCAGATAGAATTGATATCTATTGGTTGGTGAATGCAGTGTGCATTCACCTGTTAATAGAATACTTAAACGCTACTGATTTTATCTAGTCTGGATTTTCTATGGGGATATGTTAAAGACAGTGTTTACAAAACTCGACCAACTATTGTCGACAACATGAGAGAATTTATTGTAGCTGCTTTTCGACGTAGAACTCCAAGTATGCCTTTTAAAATAAAAAGACTCTTTGGAAAAGACAATCATTTTATGCAGTTAACAGGAAAGGAAGCATTTTGAGCATTTGATTTCATCTAGCTAATTTTTTGTCACATAATCATAGGTTTATATCTAGATTTAATTCTGTAATAATTAAAATATGTTTTAAACGTGTATCTTTTTATTACCATTGAATATTTTACTCTACATTCTTTAATTTTTGTTAAATTAACTAGTTCTATATTGTATCTCATACATGGTTTCTTGGAAATGACGATCGATGACATTCCCCAAATATTATCCATATAAAATGACAGCGATCATCATTTCATAGCCATCACTGACGCCGTTTTTTTCGATCGTATGGTACTAATAACTACTACAAAACAAGTTTTCTCTCAAAAAAGAAATAAACTCTTCTTTTTCAATTAGAAAATGAACACCATTCCAAAAATGTTCTCTCATTAACACTCCGGAATAGGCTTACGATAATGACAGTCGTTTGATAAAACTATGCCGGAAAAAGTTTTTCGGGTATTCTGATTAAAGCGAATTATAAAACGGAATTCGCCGACGATTTTGCATAATAGTTCTTTTATTAGGGCTGTTAAATTCGGTTGTTAGAGCCGGTAGTTGGATAAAGTTTGCGCATCACCCCATCGAGGAGGGATCGTTGAGAATGAGGCCATGAAAAAAATTGGGACGGAAACTTTGACTATTGAGCTGTGAATTGACGATATGATTTTCTTTTATATCAACAAAAGTATTAGAAAGAACTGAAGCACAAAAGGGTAATTGTGCTTTCAACATTGTTAAGATTTTTTTTGAGTATTAACTGATATTGTACTCGTACTGTTCACATCCCGACGGAAATTTATAGTCTCACAACTTGCAAGCATAATTTTTCACAAAAAAAGCACGGAAGATAAAATATAAACAAAGGAAAAACTGTAGTGTTGTCAAATTGAATTTTGAAAGCCAAAAACTAACATAGGTGTATCTATATGATTCTTCAATTCTCAGTTGTTAATTCTCAGTTCATAATGTTATTATGAATATATGTATATCAAGGGATAAAAATCTATAAAACTAGCGTGTACCCGCGACTTCGTTCGCGTCGAATTAATCATTTGTAATGGTGATGATACAGAAAAGCAAGAATTTCCATTAACATACAAACTGGATAAAATTTTCTCACATTTATGTCAGCATGAGAAAAAAACAATATAACGATATTATTATATAACTTGGTAATATTTGAGGGGTAGTTTTATCTCGTTTGATTGACTTTCGAAAAATCCGTTTGCCAAAAATAAGCTTTTTACGTCAAGCAGTTTAAGCAGAATCGTGGTTAATCAATTACCCAACTTTTTGGAACACCCTGTATGATTTTTTAAAAAATTTCAAAATACCGGGACCGGCATAAGTCAGGCAACCATTCATCAGATTATTCATTCTGAAAACGCGTCTATTCGACGAGCAAGTGTTGTCTTACATATTATTTATCGAGAGCGATGCCTGACTTATGCCGATCCCGGTATGTAAAAAAACAAAATAAATTATACGTGTCCAAGCGTTTTTCCGGAAGACTAACCGTTTTTTAAATAACAAATATTGTAATATTTGAGGGGCGTTTTCACCCTCTTGGAATTTGGGATTCGAGAAACCCCTCCTTATCGAACCTCTACACCCCACAGTCAATCCATTTGCCAAAAATCAGCTTTAAACGTCAAGCAGTTTAAGCAGAATCGTGATTACTCAGTGGTCATATTTTATGAAACACCCTGTATAAATTTATAAAAAATCTTAAAATATGTAAAACAACAAAATAAAATATACGTGTTTAAGAGTTTTTTTTCCGAAAAACTCACCGGTTTTTAAATAAAAAATATTCTAATATTTGAGGGGTGGTTTCACCCCTTAGAATTCGAGTTTCGAAAAATCCCTTCTTATCGAACCTCTGCACCCTAAAGTCAATCCGTTTTCCAAAAATCAGCTTTTTACGTCAAGCGCTTTAAGCAGGATCGTGATTAATCAATGACCAGATTTTTCGTAACACCCTGTATACATTTTTAAAAGCTCTTAAAATATGTAAAAAACAAAATAAAATATACGTGTTTAAGCGTTTTTTTCGGAAACTTGACCGTTTTTTAAATAAAAAATATTGTAATATTTGAGAGGTGGTTTCACCCTCTTGGAACTGGAATTTCGAAAAGTCCCTTCCTTAGAAGCTCTTAAAATATGTAAAAAACAAAATAAAATATACGTGTTTAAGCGTTTTTTTCGGAAACTTGACCGTTTTTTAAATAAAAAATATTGTAATATTTGAGAGGTGGTTTCACCCTCTTGGAACTGGAATTTCGAAAAGTCCCTTCCTTAGAATCAACTTGTATGCCAAAATCGAACTTCTTACGTTGAGTGGTTGGAGCAGGATCGTGATTAATCAGTGAATCAGTCACTTAAGGATTTTATATATTAGTATAGATATCATTATGCGATCTTCGTTAGTAAAAGATTTTAATAAATATGTGGCAAACCAGCATTTTTCTCTTTATAGTCCAAGAGCCGGGTGCAAAAACATGCAAGAGTTTTCTGAAGGCTCAATTTTCAAAGACGATTGCATTTTAGTGTTACAAAGCACAGGTACAGTCAGCAGTTCCAGTTCTAGAAAACCAGGCGCTGAAATGCGCGCAAAGGTTCAATTTTAATTAACACCTCCAAACTGTTTTGTGAAGGCTGAGAATTTGTAGATAACTGTTATATTTTTGTTTTGCGCATTCGAATGGTATTTACAAACTTTCAGCCTTACTCATATATATAGTCAAAATTACACCTTTGCGCACTTCTCAACGCCAGGTGTAACTTTTGAAATGTTTAGCTAGTTTTATTATTTGTATGATAAAAATAATGATCTAATTCCATTGGGCATGAGAGTCATTCTACTACTGACTTACTATTGGATAATTTATTATAGATTTTATAGTTAATTTTCATAATAAACTACTGGATAAAAATAATATGTACTTACTCTCAGTCGATATCCTTATGTTAGATTCACACAACTCTAGTCTTCTCTGGAAAGATCTCCACTGAAACAAACAACTAAAGTTAGTCTTCAACCGAATCAAATAATAATGTTGTTTGGAGGAAAAAACAACTGACCTCTACAATAGTTACTTGTTGAATAGTGAATATTTTTCGTATACACTTATGTAACGCAGTTTTTGTGGACTGACTCAAAATAAATCATCCTAATGGGGAACCTTCGACTATTAGATATTAGATGCACAATTCTGCAGGACCTCTAACAATAGTTTTGTACACAGTGTGCCACAGAACTCGGTCTAAAATTGAGATAAAAATAAAAGAATAATTTTCACTGGTAACAATTTTTTTTATTAGTTGTTTCTTGGGTATTGTGGCTATGGTCAATTAAAACAAAAATATATCTTTCTACGTTTCGCATTTAATGTAAAACAGCCGCTACACTATCCCAGAAATATTTCACGAAATATTTCCAAAAATATTTCGTGAAACATTTCGCAAAACATTTCACCAACTTTCTGTATGATTATTTTTAAATTTTACGTTATGTTTATTTATGTTATGTTCTTTAAAATCAAAGAAGCGATTGCCATACATTACTAACATCTACAGATGCATGAGCAATACATTTATTTTTATTAGATTGAATTAAAAAAGTGTCTTTTATTTTTCTTTTAGAGGCTATCGCTTCTTTCATTATAATTTTGGCGTTATTAAAATTTATTCTGTGCCCTGTGTCCCATGAATGCTGACAAATCTTAGATTTGTGAAAATATCCCTTTCTTAAATAATCTTTATGTTCTTTAATTCTAACATTTAAGGGTCTAGATGTTTCACCAATGTAAAATTTATCGCATTCACATGGTATTTGGTATGTTACATTTTTTGTTTGTTGTTCTGTATTCATTGGTTTAGTATGTGATAAAATGGATCTAAGTGTATTTTGTGTTTTGAAAGATGTTCGTATGTTATATTGTTTTCCTATCCTTATTTCCGAAACGCCTCGTATGTATGGAATTATAAGTTGTATACAGGTTGTTAACTCGACAGTTACTTATAAGGGAACAGAATGGCAACATTGCCTATTGAGAACGCATGCATTATTGATTTTTCTGCCGACTCGTCCCGTCGTCGTGTCGTCTTTCGACGAGCGGGCCGAGGTTGCCATATTTCAACCATAAAGCTCTTACCGCGAGTAACAAACCTGTATATTGTGTATTGTTATCATTTTGTCTATGATTTGGGGTTTGTATTTAGTTTAATGTTTTGTTAATAAAATATGGTGGATAGTCGTTTTTTATTAATGTATTTTTTATGTGGTTTATATCTCTGTTTAGTGAAATGTCGCCTGTGCATATTATTTTTGCCCTATCATATAAACTTTTTATAACACCTTTTTTTACACTTATACTGTGATTAGATGTGAAATTTAAGTATCTATCTGTGTTTTTGGGTTTTCTGTAAACATCTAAAATTAGTTTATTTTGAAACTTTGACACTAAAACATCAAGAAATGACAAACGATTACCTCTCTCTACTTTATTTAAGAGAATTTATATAATCCAAAAAAAATGTCTATTTCAGAAACGTTACGTTGCTATATTGCAAAAATATCATCAACAAGCTTTTTTGAAAAGCTATTTAGTGTATTATTTTCAAAATCTTCCATAAAAATATTACTTAACAAAGGAAAGAGAGGTGATCCCATTGCCATACCGAAATCTTGTTGAAAAAATTCATTATTTAATTAAAAATAAGTAGTTTTAACATTAAGTATCAACAATTCCAAAATACTATCTATGTTTAATTTAAGCCCACTCAAATCAAAAATTCTGAATGCACCTCTGTAGTGCGAACGTGTGTATATATGAAAATTACCCGTTAATCCTATCCTGTATCGTATATCGCCTGTCAAAATGGTCGATTTATCCGGCTCTAATTAGAGTACAGGAATACGAACGGGCCTGTGTGATATCGACAATAATTCGTCGTAATGCAGAATAAATCAGACGAAAATCGGGCGTAATCGCGCATAAAACATATTTGTTGGCCGTTTATTTCGGCCTAATTCGTAGAAAATGCATACAAAGTATATTGTTATAACCGATAATAAGAATAATTAGGTGAATTTTTGATAATTTTAAAAATCGATACTACATTACTAATATCGATATTATGTAAATATCGATATCGATATTTTAGAAAAATCGTTATATAAAAATAAATTTATCGATACTGTGCAACAAACATTTATTAGTTTCGATACGAGGTTTGATCGTTACTAGTATCGATATTTTGTAAATATCGATATGATATTTTTTTAAAAAATCGATGATTCAAAATAATATTATCGATACTGTGCATCAAAACTATATTTTTATTTGCTTAATACTTAATATGCAGTCAAACTTTTATGAATCATATTTATTAGATATACAGGGTGCCCCACAAATAAATGCAAGTATTTCAACTGGTAGTATAGTTCAACCCCAGAAACACGCCTATGAGGTTTTTTAGCGAAAAAAATTTTTTGATATTTCGAAATCTTTTGAAAAAATTTTTGGAACTTTTTTTTGTTTTTAGTTAAAAAACATAATTTCTTGATAATATGGCAACATAGGTATTAGATTAAATTTACAAGAAAGAAAATCCAGAAAAGATCCTGTGGTTCTCAAAATTTTAGCAAAAAATCATTTTTTTTGGAAATTTTCAAAGTAAAATAACACTCCGTTATTTTGGACTTCTAAAACGATAAAGAGAAAATATGTATCTTTTATCGAGATCTACCACCCCTTAAAATATTTGCACTTATTTCTGGGACACCCTGTATTTTCGGTAGTTTTTAAGAATGTTACATTTAGCAAATTATCGATAGTTCAAAATAATTTGTTATTAATTTTAGTTTGTATTAGAAATCCACCATAAATGCCTTAACATGTCAAGAATATAATGTAGTTTTAGAAACATATCTTATGCTAGTATAGTATAAAAAATATCTATAAAAAAATCATTAGGTACTTAAAAATTAACTTTCAATATTTCATACCAAGAATTTGCCCTCTCATAGTCTAAGAATTCTACCTGTTATTGAAAAGAGAGAGAGAGAGAGAGAGAGAACTTAATTGTTAATTTTTTGCATTCATTTAACACATGGACAATTGTCTAGAAAATAATAGAATTTGATAGATAAAAAATTCAATTATTGAAATGTAATGTGGAATATTTATGATGATGCAAGGATTTCTGTTGGATATTTGCTATAGATAGACAAACAAAAGTTTGCAAAAATGCTTATTGTACAAAAACAGAATCATCACGTAAAATCATTTTTTTTTATATTCACGTTTTATGAAATAATTTCAATATTTCATAAATAATTTTTGAGAGTCAAAAAAGCCGCGGGGGCACACAGATTTCCCATATTAATCCGGCTATACCCTTTCCAAATTTCTTTTGGCGATAATAAATTTCATATACTTGATTCTGGGGTCAAAGTATGTGAAATTTAGCTCCAAAACTTTTATATTCGTAACTTAATTGATACCTATATACTTATCTTATTCAAATGTATCCTCCGAAGTTTTTAGTTTTTACATCAGCATGGCCACTCAAAACTCTCAAAAGATCTATTCTAGCAAATATGACTTGTAGTTTGCATCTTGCACATCGTAACAGCCCTGGTTTTTTCCATTTTTGAAGTGGAATGTGTGTTTTTAATTTTCCTGTAACTATGATTCTTTTTATTCACTAGTGGACTTGTTGCTTTTATGGTTTTACCTCCTATTCCAGCACTTATGGACCAACACATAGCATGACATATTGGCACTTTTTAAACCCTTTGTGGTACTTTTAGCAGATCGACCTCGCTTCTGATGTTACAATATAGTACGTACTTTTCAAATAAGACACTGGGTTTCCTTCATAACTCCTATATTTTCCGTTGTAATACTCAGAATTACATAAGAGCGACCCGACACTCTCTAACACCGATACTGAACTAACTAGATCGAGTTTAGTGTTTATCTCAAATTATAATTCTTGTTACATAATATCTAGGGTCATCCTCATTTATAAAGAGCTGAATCTAACATATACAGGGTGGTCCGAACTGTATTCCGGAAACTTCGGCAGCATATTCTGCAGCTAAAAATAAGTAAAAAACTTCGGGTTCTAGTAAACTTTAGGTATCTCAGAATTTCACACTGTTCTTTGTTTTCTTAGAAAGATTACTGTAAATAGAGCATATTAAGACAAAAAATTTGTTGGATCATACAGTTTTTTTTTGAGCATTTGGGTTGCTTTGGTTAACTTTTCTTTGTGGAGGGTGTTAAATTTTGTTTTTATATTTTAAAAATTAACTGTTATTTTGCAAAAATAGTATTAGATTGGTTAGGATTTGGGTCGCTTTGGTTAGCTTTACTTTGTGGAGGGTGTTAAGTCTGTGGTTTTTATATTTTAATAATTTACTGTAATAGATTGGTTAGCATTTTAGACACTTTTAAATGATTTTTTTTGGTTCAAAAGTGCTTCTTCCAAGGATTTTTTTTCTTTTAAACTGTTCTATAGCAATAGAGCTTTCAACTAAAAAATAAAAATTGCGAAATTCTGAGGTACTTAATGTTTACCAGACCCAAAATTTCGTATAAATTAATGTATGTCCTAAAATGCTTAGATTCGGAGTTACAGGGTGTAGAAGTTTCATTTTTATTTCGATTTTTTCCAAATAATTTATGAAGTAACGTCAATATTAAGATGAAAATTATTGTCTGGAAGTTTCCAAATCATAACATCAAAATCAAATTTCTCATGTCAAAAAACTCCCAGACACCAATTTTCACCCAAATATCGACGTTACTTCAGAAATTATTTGAAAAAAATCGAAATAAAATTGAAAATTCTACACCCTGTATCTCCGAAATTAAGCATTTTAGGACATACATTTACACGAACTTTTTTACTCATTTTTATCTGCAGAATATGCTGCCGAAGTTTCCGGAATACAGTTCGGACCACCCTGTATAATATAAACGTTTCCTAACATTGAATTAATAAAACCGCGTATAAGGGGACCGCGTAAAGTAGGGCACTGGTGTAAAAAATGCAAACGCGTATAAGCGAAACCACGTACAAAAATGCAGTGTAAAACGAGGTATTCCTGTATGTATCCATAATCCTTTAAAAACAATGGTTTATTTTACAAAAAAACGCACTAAAAACATAAAAATATATGGCATCAGCAATTACGTTGTTTTGCTTTCAGCAGATTTTACGTAATATCCATTTGTAACAATCACAACCT